GTAACATACCGTATGGAAAGTAAGTACGATCCTCTAAACAACTCATATCTCTGGTAAAAAGTATTCGACCACTTTTTCAAAATGGAATGATATTTTTTTGATGAAATTGTACCAAATGATTTACCTAACTTTTTTGAAAAGTTAGAATTAACTTTCTAAAAATTAGAGAAATTATAATAATTATTAGGATCCCCTAAACAACTCATATCTCTGGTAAAAGGTATTTGACCACTCTTTCAAAATGGAATGATATTTTTTTGATTGTACCAATTTACCTAACTTTTTTGAAAAGGTAGAAGAATTAACTTTCTAGAGATTAAGAATTATAATAATTATTACTATTACGATTTTCTAAACAACTCCTATCTCTGGTAAAAGATATTCGACCACTCTTTCAAAATGGAATGATATTTTTTTGATGAAATTGTACCAATTTACCTAACTTTTTTGAAAAGTTAGAAGAATTAACTTTCTAGAGATTAGGAATTGTAATAATTATTATTATTAAAATTAAAATTGATACGTGCCAATTATTTGTATGTCTTCTAATAATTGCTGGTGCTTCATTTTTTGATATCATATTATCGCGCACGATGTTATCGAACATAATTTATATTTGATAATAATCGCATTCAACGTGCATTTTCATTCGTCGTCGTATAATTGATCAAAAATATCAAATTTATATGCGATATTTCATATTGATATGTAATACGACGCAATTTATATTCCATGATAATCACGTTCACCAATTAATATATTGACGTATAACTTGATCAAAAATAACGAGGCAAAGTTATTAGCCAAAATGTCCAACAATCCTTCCCAATTATTCACGGATCCTCGAAAACAATGAACGTGTTAACAAATAATTGGCAGGTATCAAAAGAAAACAAGACGACGAAAGTATATATATATATATATATTCCTTTCTTCAACATAAATTACCTCGCAAGTTACCCATTCCTACCACCATCGAGAACAACCATCGATGACAACAATCTCACGATACACAACACCCACACGTTATTCTTCCGCTTACAATCTATTCATTGTCCAAACTTTCTTCGAGAAACGAAGTTTCTTTTCTTCAAGATCGTTTATCACGGGCTAATTTCTACGGTTCTCCTCGTCTCCCGCGCCGGAGAAAAGGAGGAGAAGGAAAAGCTCGATTTACGGGCCGAAATACCGATAGCCGATTTCATTAAAACGCGTCAGCGCACGTGAGCGGTGTTAATAAAACAGGGCGTCGCCTACCCTTGTTTCAGTATTCAAGACAGGATGGAGCTGAAGCGGAAATTGCATTGCAAGCCCTTCAGCTGGTATCTGAAAAACGTGTATCCAGAGCTGGTTATACCGACCAGCGAGGGTGGACCCGGTGGATCGTTGAAACAGGGCTCCGCGTGTCTGGACAGCATGGGCCATCTCCTCGATGGAAACGTGGGACTTTACCCGTGTCACGACACCGGTGGTAACCAAGTAAGTATGGCTCTGTGTTATTCATGCTACGCCCCCGGTATATTCGAGTATACTGCGATGAAATAACGATACAAATAACCATTCGCCACGTTTCTATTATCGATCGATATATTCAATTTTTATATTTCAATTATTGTATATATTTTTACAGATGGATTAAAGAATCGAGAAATTTTGAAGAAAATATTGAAGATTCTTAGAATGTTTTTTGAATATCTTTCGAAGAAGATGGAAATAACGCGTTGAGAGAGATTTTATTGAAATAAATATAGAATTTTTAGTAGGAAAATATGAAATGACTTTCGAAATTTTGATTAAAAAAATTTCCTAGATAAAATCAAATTCTGAGACGAGAATCAATTAACGATATTTATAATCTCGATTACAAACGATAAATCTCGACTCGATAAATCTCATCTGAACAATTTCTTACAGGAATGGGGTCTGACGAAGGACGGTCTCATCAGGCATCACGGCCTCTGCCTAACCCTTCCTGTCTACGCGAAAGGCACGACGCTGTTAATGCAGATCTGCGACGGTAGCGAGAACCAGAAATGGAGGCACCTCGAGGGCGGTTTGATCCGCCACTCGAGAATTCCTGTGTGCGTGGACTCGAGATACCACGCGCAAAAAGGAATCACCGCTGAAAAGTGCGACTCGAACGCCGAAACGCAGAGGTGGCATCTTTACAACCACAACCATTAGCTTCCGAGTGTGATCAGTAGTGGCTCGTGAAGACAACGGTGCCGTCGTCACTCACGAAGGGCCGAAGGGGTGCAATATTTGATCAGAAGAAGAAGGGTCGACCTGATAAGGGAAAACGATCTAATCGATCCGAGATCGAAGTTGCTCAATCGGACCCGTAAATGATGACTCGAAACAGGGGTTCGTTGTTACGAAAAGACCTTCTCCACGTGACGCGTGAAGACGAAGAAACGATTTATATATTATAGGAGAGTGATATATCGATCTAACGTATTCATAGTTTTAACGAGACTGTGCGTTGACAAAGAGATTGCGGAGACATGGAATTGAATTCCTGTTTTTTTTTTTTTTTTTTTTTAGATTTCGTAGAGAAAGATCATCTTTATTTGGTATTTTTTAAAGTAGAATGTGATAAGAGAATGTTTGAAGAAAATCGAATGTGTTTATTACACAGTCTTTGGAATTGATTTGTGATGAATGAGGAATATAGTCTATATTTGTTTTGTTTTTTTTTTTTTTTTATTTTAATTAATCGGTGATATATAATTGTATGATTGGAAGGAACGTCGATGTCCTAGTCGAATTCATTTTGCAAGGATTGTTTTCTAGAAGCATATTCATTCCGGTGCATTTATATTGATGATCTCAAATCGCGTATAGATTGCGAAACGATTTCTCAGTTACCGTTTGTATTATTTTGAAATAAACATCGAAGCGTTGGAAAATTCTCGTTTAATCGATGCTCGATTTCTTATTGAAAAATAACGAGCATTGATTCAACGAGAAAAAAAATAAAACGATTAAAAATGCGATATCGATTTTATTTAACTCTTATTTTCACGGCCTTAAGCGAATGATCAAATGACGAAAAAACGCTATTTTCAAATCGACTATTCTTTCTTAGCCGACCACACATGTATTCAGACACATACACATACACATGGTATACGTGGCGCATCGATTTGTGTTAAATCATTGGTCGATCGTGATATATACGAATCGGGTGCTTCTCGATCCAAAGACATGCGCTACCATTCTCTCACAAAGAGATTTATTTTTCTATAAAAAAAAAAATTGTATACTTACTTGGTTGTGCGAATAGTTGGAAATTATGGATGTGTTTGCCTCACGAAGACTCAACGTGTTATAGAACAGCGATTATATCAATTGATTTTTACTTTATTTATTATTTTTTTTTTTTTTTTTCGTTTGCTTTCTATCCGATTCCTGATGACAAAGTTCATCTTCTTAGAGAAGAATATATTAGATGATTAGTCTTGACTAAATTGCCTACGACACGTTGAGTCTTTCCAAGGCAAAAATATGGAGCGACTATTATACAGCAATATGTAGGCGAGAGAACGATTTTTTGTACACTGATACTATTTTCACGACGACAATGATCCGACTGCCGTCATCTCGCATACGATATTTAACACACGTATATGTATATGTACACAGAAGTTACGCTATCGAGAATTATTGTAAGCTTTTGTATAATACCGAACGCGCCCCTAATCGCCTATTTACACATTCTTAGATTTACGAAAAGCGATGTACATTCGAAGAAAGATCGTTTCTATTCTTAAAAACCGGTTAAGCTAAGCTATTAGACAGTATCATTCAGATTTAATCGTATTTTCAACTGATGCAATTGTACATATGGGTTTAAAGATCTCTTTTATTAAAAAAATTCTTATAAATACGAATATTTCGAATATTCAGCAAATTTGGCTTAAATTTTATGAATAATCGTTCCGCTCTATGCATAATATCTTGATTAGACGCGTGATAAAAAATATTATTGCATAGAGTGTATTCTTATCGCGCACTTCTCTCTTCGGTACGTATTTTAATTCAAACGCTCCGATTTTATCATTCAATTACAAAATGAAACGCTGTGAACAATTTACACCTAACTTTTTTCCTAATGGAATTCTATCACGAAATCCTATAATCGAACGGACAAAATAAATTAAAAATTAAACGCGTATAATAATACGTTCTTCCCAATCGACTCGCGAATCAATATTGTAAATATTTAAATGCGCGATCATATTCAATCGTCTGGTCTCCCGTCCTAAGGCGTCTCTGAATTAATTCGAAGCGAATACACGATATTATTCGAGATTTTTTTGCCACGAATTCGCGACTAATCAGGCATAATCGCGTGCAATTGTAAATAATATATCTATGATATAAGTTAAAATATAAAAAGCGTACTTCCATGAATCTATAAGCTGTAAGATAAACGAAACGACATTTAAACTTTTAAGATTGCGTTGTACATTATCACGAATACTTCCCCGATTTTTCTATTGCGTGCGATACGTTGATCATTTTATCGATTTTTTTAAATATTGTTGAATATCCAATCCTTTTTAATTGTAATTTAATACGTTAAATTTAATAATACATTGAAGACTCGGTACGCGAAAGCAACGTTTTTGAGATGAATTTTTTTTTTTAATTTAATTTATTATATGTACGTTATCCTTTGGATATTAAAACTACGTCGAAATTATAATGAATTTCTGCAAATAAAAATAATCATGGAAATAAAAGAAAATACATACATATGGACGTTCGTTTTCGACTGAATACCTGTCTTCAAGGTGTACACGTTGAATTTCTACGATTCTGTATTTTGCAAATGTATCATATTAAAAATCCAAACAAGAAATATATATGAGTATATACATTTGGTACATACTTATATATATTTGTATCTCGTACATTAAGAACGCGATATTATAACTCATAGGAACAAAGTTTTTTAATAAAACGATGGAATTATTCCAAAAATTATGGAGATGTTTTTTTAGACAACCAGCAAATATTTTATTTAGTTAAAAATATCAAATAATATAGTGAACAATCTTGCAAGAATAACAATTAATTTATAATTAAAGATGTGGTTTAAATATTATGATTTTGCACTATGTTTTTTAAGTGCATTATTAACTTTCTTCTTAAATTCATCTAAGTTTATATCATCCTTCTCTTCCTTTTTCTCTTTAGATGCTTCTTCAGGAGGTACAAATGCTTGCGCCCTACGTTCCTGTCTTCTTTTCTCAGCCTCCTGGTGCTTGATATCTTGTTCTCTCTTCTTCTTGGCTCTTTTCTGTTCCTCGTTCAAAAAATATTCTCCTGTACTTATCATCTTGTCTATCTTGCTCTCTTGTTGAGGAGGTGGGAATGGAGTATACGGTTTTTTCTCTTTCTTATTCTTCGGCTGCTTTCTCTTATTAATATTTTTACTACTGAATTTAGGCAAAAATCTCTCCCAATTTTCATTCTTTAATTTTGGATCTTTTGCCAGTTCTCTCTTAATCATCAACGCTTTAATGTTATAAATAGGATGAATGTTTTTCATAGTATCTTCAACAATACGTCTAACTAATGGAAGACTTCTATAAGGACCTAATGCAGCCACTGTCTGTCCTTGTACAAGAACATAACAATTTGTCAACAATTCAATGGATTTCAAAGTGCATCCTTTTGGTCCTATAAGCCTCTGACGTCTCTTGACAAACTTTTCTCGGTTTCTTACAAACGAAGATATTTTTATAATATCTGAGCTAATATCATCTTGAAGTACTCTAACTGCTTGTTCAAAAGGAACAGATCTTGACATAAGTTTGATCATATCACGAGCTTTAATTATAATATATGGATCCCATGTTTTTCTAGTAGTTTTCACAGTCATACTACCTTCAATGAAATCTAATTCAGCTTTGATTGCATAATCGTCTAAAGCTTTCTGAATCAATGGCCAATGTTCTTTTAAATATTGTTCTCTGTATTTTGGGAACAAAGTTGCAAATGAACTTTCTTGAAGTAAACGATTAGGATTGTCCTCAGCTTTAAAAGATGGAATTTCTAATGACCAAGCATTGTCCACTGGACCCGTTGTCTTGGAATCATCTTCTTTTTCAGAATCACTCATTTTTTATACAATATTTTTGTAATAATATTTAATTTTCAATTTTTTAATATGTATTAATTTCTATCATCGCACTAACTTTATCAATCGAGACTCGATTGATTATATTTATGTTTATTTATGTTAGTTTATGAAATAAAAATTAATACTTTAATATAATCGCACTATTTTGAAATTGCATTTATAACAAAAAACTTCAAAAAATTTATTTTTAATCACTCCACGTGATACTTAAACAAACGGTTCCTAATTTTAAGGTTATATTGTTGATTTTCATTGAACAATGAACACAAATATAATATAGAGTCCTAGAATAGCTATTACTTTCTTTAGTAACGCCATCTCTTGAAAAGTATTGAAACTCAAGTGTTGTACTCAATTTTCAATACTTTACCATAGATCATAGACAGGATAGATACGACATCTTATAAGATTTTTGTGTTACATTCTCAAATATCGACCATGAAAAAAGCAGAGTAATTTTTACAATGTCTGCAATTTATTATGGCTAACATAGAAACTACATTTATCTTATTCTCGAAAAAAGATATACATACATGTATATATTTATATATACATGTATGTATATGCATTATACCTATGATTCCATGCTTCTTTACTCAAAAATTTATTTAAAATTAATAATAAATTTTCTTTTTTTTGATGTAGGTTTGCAAAACATTCGATTCTTGATCAAATGTTTGTGCAAAACAAACAACAAAAGAACTCCTAAGATATAAGTTAATCTCTGAAAATAAAAATTAAATTATATCTTAATTATATACAACTCTACATAAAGCACACACATTACATCACATACATAAATCAATATTTTATATATTCATTGCCATGAAAATATAAAATATTGATAATTAATTAAAAAATTTAAATATATTCCACACAGTTCCAGAATTTCTACTTACTATTATTATTATCATTTATTATGCATGCATTTAAAACATATTCTACTTTAAGCACTATAGCAACCTATAGCAACAGTTCTATGAGCCACTTATTTATATTCTAAAACTTTTATTTAGAAAAATTGGATGAATTCCTAAATATAATTTAAAAATATCCTTAAAAAAAATATGATTCCTAAGGAAATTCAAAATAATCCAATTCATCTAAACCTACAATTCCTTGTAATCCCTATCTATATATTAGTTAAATGCTTATTTTAATCTTTATTTAGCATGAAACTAATATCTTCCTATATAATTTAAAAATTTATATAGGAAACCTACCTACACAAAGATATAAAAGATATAATCAAGGGAAAAGTATATTATATGAAGTACCATCTTCTTTAATTGGCATTTCCTGAAAGGTTGACCTGAAACAAACTTATTTGAACGATTAGTATAATAATTAAGAAAAAAAAAAGGAAAAAAAAAAAAAAACAATATTGATTTGGAACAGATAAAAAGATAAATTTTATAATGAACATTCATCATTATTGACTCTAAAAAATTTAAATGTTAAAAAGAATTTAAATTCGATATTTTGAAAAACTTAGAAAAGTTCTTACTTGTAATATTTTCTGCAACAAAGGTAAAATGTGATAAGGGATGCTGAAAAAGAAAACAAGTAACCAGAAGGGCTACTAAAATAAAAAATATCTTCCACTTGATATGAACCCGAGCAACCGCGAATTGTTTTATATCGCAACACTAATAAACTAATATTTTATTTTTATAAAATAGAAAATCAACCGCGATGAGTGCTTTATCATATTTGCAATATTGATTTAAATTAACAAAAAAAATATAAAAAAAAGCTGAAAAATTCCCGAAAACAATATTTACGCAACACTACTCTATGCACTCAAATTTAAATAACGCAACACTATAGCGAGAAGTCCAAGTGCAGTCTCCTTAATGACTGCTGTGTGATCACCCTTGCAGCTTTTTTAGCCACTTAAGGTGATTCAGGAACAGAAGCGTTGAGTATTTCCACAATCCAAGTGGAAAAAGCGTGGGCATTTAATATTCGCAACACTACTTACAAACGCGATTATTTATCAACGCAACACTACATTTTAAAACAAATTCAATAAAAATCATTACTTCTGTATGATTAGAAAGCTATTAGTTAAAAATAATGAATTTAAAAATAAAGCTATCAATTTAATATAATTAAAAAAATTAAAACAATTTGTAATAATAAAACAATCGCGATATCTTATAATTCGCAACATTAATGCAAACGCGACTCTCATTTTAACGCAACACTAATGCAAACGCGATTTTCATTTTAACGCAACACTAATACAAACGCGATTTTCATTTCAACGCAACACTAATAAAGAAACGCGACAATTACAACGCAACTCTAATTCAACCCGTTATATTAATAAATCGCAACACTAATAAAAAAAATCGCGATGCCCATGATGACTGGATCCGGTGGGCCGGCATGCAATCGGCCAGACAACACAACAAATACTACGTATTACTAAAACGAGCACAGTGACAAAATAGTAACAATGACTTCCCATTCTTTGGACCCAAAGAAAATCCAAAAAATGAGAAACCATTCGTTGCAGCCCCTCTTCGTGACAGTTTGTCGAGGCCTCTTCGGTCTTCCTCCTTCGGGCGCAATGCCCGCTGAAACTTAAATCTAGGCTCGAGATTCGCTAATCGTAAACAAAAAAAGAAATAAAAAAAAAAGACTAAATCGCGGAAACTAGCACATGGACGACTAATGATCGTACCATTGTTCATACATGTGCAGAATCTCGAGCGCAACGTTCGTTTCGAAAGCAAATCCCGACCGCGACCACGAAACTCGAAAAATCGACA